CCGAGAACTATAAAAATACCGACATTCGGACCATATATTCAATGTGTCCAAAATAACTTCGAATTAGGACAGTGATGTACCTGAACATGTACTTTTCATATATTGTCCCGTATAATTTGAAGACAAAATAAAATGTTAGGTCTCCTGGGTAAGGCGAAAGTGCTTCGATTGGTGTCGTAAATCCAGGGAGGAGAGGGGCGTGGGAAGGGGTATTTGCCTCCTCTCCAATAAACTTCTGTACAAATGTCAATGCAGGAGTGTGAGGAGGTGGAGGTACACCTCATGAGACCGCCATGTCGGACGGTCTCATGGGCCTTCTGACACATTTTCTAATGGTTCTAGAGACCAACATGACGGTCTTGTGTGGATTTCGGTTCAATGGGATTTCCCGATCTAGTATAAGACCTTCTAATGTCCTTGTTTTAAGTTTTTTATAAATCGGAACTTTTATGCCATTTCTTTTCTTCAGTCGAGCATTTTCCCCCCACTCCTTTAAACGAGAGAGCTTTTATTTGGATAGATTATTTCTCAATTCTTGAGCTTGTGCCCCCCCCCCCTACTTTGTAAAATCCAGGCGCTTTAACTATGAACTCGGAAAGAACGGAAAATATTGTTCCTTTTCCTAATTTGCAACCGTAAAGACCCATGCAGTATAGAACAAAATTATTTGAACATAATATGCAAAGACAGTATATTGAGATTGGAAAGTTGTACTTGTTGGCAGTGAGTATGAAAGTGAACACATTACAGCAATATTATAAATGCTAAATATATTACTCATTGCGGATATAGTATCGAGCAAAATATCGCTAGTGATATTAGTTTGTCTCGCAATGTATAGTCAACTAGGGATCAAAAGATCACGACGTTTCGTGCGCCGCTGCAACACTTCGTCAGGTGATAAAATATATTGTAAGCAAGCGTAGGGTATAAAAGACGTTTGCTTACAAGATATTTTATCACCTGACGAAGTGTTGCAGCGGCGCACGAAACGTCATGATCTTTGAGATCCATTGTTGACCATACATTGCGAGACAAACGAATATCCCTAGCGATATTTTTTTCAATATTATAAATATTTAATGACATAAATTTGGTCTGTACGCTGCACGATTTTCCCAAAGTTTTTGATATATAACTATAACATTATTACTATACTTATCCAATTAATTTGTAATCATATTTCATTCATTTTGTTTATATATTTATTTATTTACATATCTATTTATTCATTTATGAATTTACTTTATTTATTTCAGTCTTCTTTATACAGGGTGGTCCTCCTTTGCTCTTCCAAAGGGCCATGTAGGGGCACTAAGTCATTCAAACGAATGGAATGATATACATAGCTTGTAATTACACATTAATAATACAAAATGTACAACAACATGTTTAATAATGCGATGAATTGTGTAACATACAATGCCGGAGCTCAAGCCAGCTCAAACTCTGCATTCTAATACAGCATTCACTTGGTCGTATACCAGCTAGACCGTTTCATTAAACTTGCAATGATTTCAGTTGATGCAACTTGTTATTGATAAAAAAAATTATGAAACAGGGCTCTGAGCTTATCTATTTACAAAGAGTGATGACAATGGAGGTCGCTTCTGATTAATCAGTTATATTCATGGAGCTTCGATAGTTCCTTCTCATAAGATCCTTCGAAAACATGGGTTTGAATACAACCAAAATAAATAAAAATATTCAAATGTATTTGGCATTATCATTAATATTTCGTTTTCTTCGTAAGGGTTGTGCGTGAGATTATTATTATTATTTATTATTTTATTTGGCAAATCAAGTCACATAATACAACAATATAACAAACATGAATTGAGATTAAAAAAATCAATAGAAAGCATATATAAATATTGCAATAGCAGGTGCATCCGGTCGAGCTGCCCGGTTATGGAAAAAGTTAACCAAATAACTGTGATCCGCAGACCTTCCTCCCCACACCCGACTAGATGCACCTGATATTGGTTAAAATAAAGCTTTAAAAAGAAAAGATAGATGAGAAGAAAATGGAGGAAAGAGGGAGAAAAAGAAAGGAAAAAAAACATTGCATAACAATTTTTTTAAAAGTTGTGATTTCGTGGCAGGTATGGTAACATATTATTACTGTTAATCATTAACACTATCATCACGTTGTAAAACATAAATATAATATCATTATCATTATCGTTATTAACATTATTACTACTACCGTTACTATCGTTTTTTAAAAAAGTTGTGATTTCATGAAAGGTATAGTAACATATTATTACTGTTAATCATCAACACCATCATCACGTTGTAAAAAATAAATATAATATCATTATCATTATCGTTATTAACATTATTACTACTACCGTTACTATCATGATTATTATGATTATTATAATTTGTATCATTGACATCAATATTTATATTAAAACATCAACAACAAAATTAATTTTCAATGAGAATACGATTTTCAACAACAACCAGTCTCGAAGCTATTGCACGATCATAATATGTACAGATAAAGGTAAGCCCTATATCATGTTTATGAAAATATTAAGATTCAGTAATACAATTTTGGAATGGTTTGGAATGGTTAAAATGGACTGTGTATTGTTTCAAATAAATATCATTATTGTTTCATATTATATAATGAAAAATGGAACAAAAATTATACGGTATACATCACAGGTGGTTATTATGTGAATCATTTATAGAATTGAAGGATTATTTATATTCTATAAATGACTATAAACAGCAGCAATTAAACAACTAGCAATAAGAAAGCATAAACAGCATTAAAAGATCACACTGTTACAAATATGTATAAGCATATTCGTCATTATTATTAACATCATTTATATTATTGTTATTGCAATCATTATTATTGCTACGATTATATCATATAACTTTTACAATCATTATTAATATTATTAAGGAATATAATGTATAATACAACATGAATAAATATGGAATCATATAAATATATACAGATTTACAAGCCAGAGTTCAACACCTTCAAGTGGGAGCACCAAGTGCCAATCGCGGGCTTTTCCTGCCTTGGAGACCCCCCTAAATCACGAAAAATGCTCAATGTACCCCCCTAAATTCGGAATAACTTCTCAGGAGTCCAAAGAGATTAGAGAAAAAAAGAAAAAAACACCCCCTTTTTAAAGAAATCTCGGGGTGAAAAGTCAAATACACCCCCTTTTTTTTTTTTTACAATTCTCGGGCCGGACTTTGTCGCACGAAAAGTACCCCTCTACCGGACATTTTGGCAACACGCATGCGGTCATTCCGACCCCTGAGTGGGGGGGGGGGGGGGGGGTTACAAATAAGAGAATGTTGGCGGAATGAGGATAAGGAAAGGATTGAGGGAGAGAAATAAAAGATGAAAATGATAGAGTGAAAGGAGAAGAGAGAGAGAAAAAGAGAGTGAGGAAGAGAAAAAGAGAGAGAGAGAGAGAGAGAGAGAGAAGGAAAGGGAGAGAGAGAAAGATAGGGGAGGGGAGGGAGAACAATGGAGTACGTGGGTATTACAGGAAACATGACCAGCTAAAGTGAATGTCCTATAGAAGAGTGTACAAGTGTACAGCTACAGAAGACACTGAAAAACGGGAGAGGGGTAGAAAAAGGGAGAGGAAGAGAAGGAGGATAGGAGTGAGGGAGAGAGACTCAAGCTTTGAGATCCTGAACAGTGAAACCGATATTTACCCGCATTATGTGTAGCGTTATATCTTCTTCTTATCCTTCAATCAAATCAAATGTCTGGATGGTACTCATTTCTAAAGATCATAGGTGTAATATTTGATTAAGATTAAATGCAGTTTCAAGGAATTGTGTTAACTCAAATATAAATGATTAAATGCAATATCAAGACTTTGAACAAACTGAAATGTATCTTTGTAAAATCATAATAATAATTAATAACTTCTACTCACTGCATCCGACTTTATAAATACATTAAAAAGTAACGGTAATACATAGACTTATATCCGACAATATGATATTATATTATATACCTTTCCAAAGATTGAAACTGAAGATTTCTTTTAAATTATTCTTCCATTTATTTCACCCTAAATGGTAGCCAGCATGTGTCTGTATATAAATGGTGGGTTGGGGAGGATGTGTGTGTGTGTGCGTGTGTGCGTGTGTGTGTGTGTGCGTGCGTGTGCATGTGTGTGTGTGTATGCGTGGGTGTGTGCGTGCGTGTGTGCGTATGCGTGTGTGTGTGCGTGTGTGTGTATGTGTAAGCATTGAACATAAGTTCCTTCTTGACTGATGTTTTTTGTTTTTATCCCACTTTAAAGGAGACCCAGTTTGGTCACCTTGTCTACTCTAACTCTGTAAAATAAGTTTAATACATTTTATCAATGTTTCAATCGGTGAGAGTCAATTAAATAAACCTTGAAACCCTGAAAGCCAGAAACAAAAAAAGTTTTAGGCCTTGAAGCTAGACCGCTCCAAAGACACAACGATAGTGGTTGAAAATGTATTCCAATTTTATTTATATATTTATGACGGATATCAATACTTTTTTTTCAATCATTAATTTTGTATTAAAAAAATTACACTGCCCCCCCCCCCCAAAAAAATATATAATAATAATAATAATAATAATAATAATAGTGCGGATTGAAAGCGGTATATATCAATCCTGGAACGATTATAATTATAATAGACCCTGTAGGCTAATCGAGCAACTTATCACTATCTTCGTTTTTATCGGGATATAGAAGTCTGAACAAAAAAAGGAAAGGAAGGTTCTCAGATTTTTAAAAGTGAAAATAAAATAGTCTCAAATTTGGTTACAGGTAAGAAAAGAAATATGCCTTTCACACCTTTAACTCGGTGTGTATGAAAAGTATAGCAGATTTCGTTCGGCTCTCAGAGCGTTATAACTAAAGAATTTTTTTTTTTAATCCTTCAATAGACGGATTTTCTGTCTATATAGTGCCCCTGTGCCCTACCCTCCCACCCCTCCCTCCTCTCCCCTCGATCCTCCAAACGCTGATTGGTGAACCTCTTGATATTACTAAAACCAGTATCCTTCGCACAGGAGAGGGCCAAGATTATAATACAAATGACGTGACTGATATACCGTGTATCCTGTGTGCAGCCTGATGACTGGCAGTCTTCTCATGTCAGTAAGGTAGCCAGTATCTTCCCGCCATGTACCAGAGACCTCGGAGTAATCGGCCCGACAACGACGTCCTCCATAACAGCTAGCTACATAAGAAAAGGAAATGGTTTATTTACATATTTTTAAATGTGTGTGTTTTGGGGGAAACAACCCCTGGCTGGCTGAGTCGTTGCGACATTTTTCATCAAATCCTGGACCCCCCCCCCCAAAAAAAAGTGTCTTGGATCGCTGCGTGCGATAGAAGAATAAAAAATAAAAAACGGACAGAAGCTGGACTACTGCCCCTGTCAAACTACAATGAAAACGTCTCTCCTTCCCGCTGGCCGAACTGAGATTTATTTATATATCATTTCATAATTTGTTCCGATATTTTTATATTTGTTTTATTATCATTATTTCTTTTTGCTTGATCGATATTCATAAGACTACCTATTGATGACTTTGATCATTTTTTTAAAGGTCCCCCTTAATATATCAGAATTATTGATTGTTGACAACTTGCTGTCTCTTTCACTCTTATAATTTTTCTCAATGAAAATCTGAAAGGGCTAGCCACTCAGGTGGCAGTTGATTATGCAAGAATTATTAACTTTCTCCATCTATAAAATATTAGGGGGGGGCAATCTTACCTCCATTGTAACTACATGCACAACCTCTGTGATCACTCGGTGAGTCGCCCCAGTTTGGCATTTTCCTCCCCTGTCGTGACACCCACCAAACATTCTGCGTGAGGCCATCAGAAGAGTAGATGTAGGACCTATATGCCTTGGCAAAGATTAACTGCTTGCAGCTCTTCGAATTCTATACATAGCGTAAAGGAATGAAAAATTGTGGCATAGTTCTTATTGTCTGAATATCGAGTCCCCCCCCCCCCCCAGTCTCTCTAGTCTCTCTCTTACTCTCTCACTCACTTTCTCCGCAATGTACTATCAGTTATCACTCCCTCTCTTACTCTACTCTCTCACACACTCACACACACGAACGTAAACCCACAACGTCGCCTCTTCCCTTGTACAGCTATATATACCTTTCTCCGCTTTTACTCCCCATATGCCCTCTACATTGTCTCTTATTCTCTATATTTTTCATCTCCTGTACATAATTAAATATTGGGTCCTGAGGATTACAATTTGATTTTCCACTACTATTATATCTTCACGTTCTGAATAGTTTCTGACAACACTCTCATTGAAATTTCATCGAAGTAATATTTGACAGTATGAATGCGCCTCAGTTTTCTTCTTCAAGCAAAACATTTTTTACTATACAGTATATAGCAGTGTAGTACATGTAATTTGAAACGGGAATAAAAAATGAAACTGACGAAGAATTCTTAATCTTGCGAATTTTTGTACATTCTTTATCACAATCAGGTCAATTGGAAATATTGATTCTCTATTCTCATTTAAGAACTTAAGTATGGAATCCAGGGCCCCGTCTTACAAAGAGTTACGATCGATCCAAATCAATCGTAAGTCCTCCAATCAATGGCAAGTTTGCAGTCTCCTATCTCTTATGTACATAGTTACGATTGATATCAATCGCAAATAAGTTACGATTGATATCAACTCTTTGTAAGACGGGGCCCAGAATGATATAGACCATAATGTGTGAAAATCAGATGCATTAAACAGGATGTTATGAAGATACTGTACCTGAATGAGAGCAAGGATAGTATTGGAGTCGAACGGATAGGTCACATTGCGCACAAACTCCCCTACTCCGAGTCCAGACGGGGTCGTCTCTTGATCTGTGATGTCGTGTGGTACTGAGGTGACACCTGCATGGGATGTCCAAAAAAATAAATAAACCAGGGCCCTATTTCAAAATAAAAGTTGCGATCAAACGCGAATCAAAAGTCCAAAATGTATGTGGTTTTGGGGGATATGCGTAGAAACTCAACTTTTTACGCAATCAAGAGGGCCCTATCACCGGCTTATAAAAAAGTTGCGATTGATCTGTATTGCTTGCAATTCCCTTTATCAATCCCAAACTTTCAAAATCACATCTCTTCAGTACAATGTTGCGATATATACCAATTCAGTTGCGATGAATTTGAATCAATCGCATCTTTTTATAAGACAAGCACAAAAATAACCAAATATTCTGATGAACTCACAACAGGGAATAGGTGAAGAAAAATAATAAAGTGTGGGATGAAGATAGACATTAAAGGGATCCGGTAACTTTGTCTCAGATTCTGAAATAAAATTCTGGATTTAGCTCATGACGCAATGATAATTATAAACCTTTAGGTCAGTCAGGAACCCCGTGACTTTTACAAGCCAATCGCCTGTCTGATTATCAAGATATTTATGATTGGAATTACAAATTTTGAAAACCGTTCGCCTGACGGTTTTCATAACACTACAGTCTATTGGGGAAAACGAGTATTGTAAAACCAGTCACTCAAAGATTTTTACTTGTTTGAGGAACTTCTTGATCATTTTGAAGCGCAATTTTTTTTAGGGCTTCAATATTACACCATATCACAGACACTGATAACACGTAGGGCCGTGTATCTCAGATTTACCACTGTTAAACGATCCCTTTAAGAAGAAGGCAGTAGGTGAGACAGAAAGAGAGAGAGAGAGAGAGAGAGAGAGAGAGGAAATAATAGATATAGCTAGGGAGGAAGAATGGAAGGAGAGAGGGGGAGATGGACGTGGTCAACCGTATAAGTCGGTCTGCATTCTAGAGACAATACGTATAGTCAATATTTAGAAAGATGGAACTAATTGCATTTCCTTTATTTACTGTGCGTTGTGCCATCGTCAATGAGTTGTCTTGCTTATTTGAACAGGAAGAGCCTTTAATCACTTCAAACATAAAACACAATATGCTCAAAGAAATTATATTATGATCTACACAAGTCATAACGCAACGTCATTAAGGATGTATAAGGTGCAAATTAATTACTCCCATTATGTGCTCCTGGATTTGCTCAGGCGACAATTACTCTGGTCTCAGTACTTTCATGATAAGGTTATGGTTAGGGTAGCAATTGGCTTTTATGTCGGGCTTAGGAAAAGGGTTAGGTATATAACATGGCCCAGGGTTGAAGCTCGACATTTGATTAGTGTATGAGATCGACCGACGACAAATTGTGCGAGTCGTAAATTTGTTGCCTACCGTCCGCCATGAGGCACTCCATCTCAACCGGAAGTGATAGAGTACGATGTTTTCCATCCGGGTCAATGACGTAGGTACCATCTTCGGTGATGCCGTCACGAGCCTTCAACTCAGCACAATTACGCGGTGGATCTAAAATAAACAACATCAAAATAAAAGAGAATGCATCAGTTTATCACAAAGGAGTTAGTTTACCCGCTCTCAAACGAGGGTTCTTGAAGATAAATTTTCCCCAAATAAACCGTATCTCTTTCAATCAATCATGACGTTTCAATAAATAATAAGCTACGATTAAATATATTACAGATAACTAAATGTAATGCATGGTAAGATACAATTCCAGCATGATTAGAGTTACATTTTTTTCGCTGTGCGGACTCCGATACGTATGGTATATAGGGCAATGGGGTAGGTTTGGAATTAGCACATTAGGTTTAAACACGGTTAAGAAGTGTTCGTTTAGTGCTGAAGTTACGAATTCAGTAAATATAGAAATTGACTGCCGTTGAAACGTAATGTGGTAAAAGCGATGGATTACCACTATATAGACAACAGAGTGATATCTTATCATTTTTATTGTTGCATAACGAATAACTTCCCCATGTGCTTCCAAAGAGCTTTATTATTACCCAGGCTTTACTTTAGCACCGGCACTGATCAGCGCATATATAGCCCATTTCAAGGAATGACTGTGGCAAGAGAAAACTGAAGGATGTCTTACCAAAGGAAAGCAGTGCTATATTAAAGAGATATTCGAACACCATCCATTGTGGTCCCCAGTCTGGTGACTTATCCACTAGACCGCATGGGTATACATAATACAGCCCCTTTTTTCATATTACTTACATATTTCACATTGGTTCCCGCCAAATCCTTTAGGACATTCACACTTAAAACCGTCGTCGACCTCTGTGCAGTTTCCTCCATACTGGCATGGCACGGACAGACAGGCTGAGAAGAGGTAGAGGGTAATATAATATCATGAGATAGTAAGCCAACTTCATCAAAGGTGTAAAGTTATGGTTAGGGTTGTGTTGAGTGTTGGGTCCAGGGTTGGAGTTGCGAATTCGGCTAGTTCGGAAAATTGACGCGGAACAATAATTGTCGCAGGAGCGAGAGTCGTACGTGGAGTCATAAATGTAGGAACGAGGACATTATGGCCCTAAAACAGTTGTAGCGAGGCACTAACAACTATTTTTGGCCAGGGATCGAGCAATCGTCAAAAACTGTCGACAATTATTAATTTCCAACTCCCTTACTGATATTCAGATAAGATTTGTGTTTATACGGGTGATGTGGTGTGAGACTGTGTGTGTAGGCGGGTACGCAGGGGGTGGGGGGGGGGGGGTTGGGGTCGAACCCCTCCCCCTCAAATTTTTTGTGTGTGTGTGTTTTGGAGGAACACCCCCCTCAATTTTTTTAAATTAATTGTGCTAATGGGTAACCCAAAATAGGTGACTTCCCCCCCCCCCCCAACGGAACGAAATATCGATCGGTAAAATTTTCAAATTTTGGGACAAATTAAAAATGTGCTCTTAGCACTTAATGTTTTCAGCATTGTATGCATGATAAGAATAGGCCTATGATATGAATACCAAATGTAGGCCCACAATAACTGATCTTCACCTTTACTAACTTTGCTAGTGATTGAGAGGGTCAGGCAGGCAGGCATTGATGCACCTTCCTCATATTTGTTTCCTTTGTGAATTTCCAATCTTTAAAAAGAAGTGTAAGTTTTCATGCCAACATCAAATTTTGTTGAACTTTGCAAGAATTATGAATATGTCATGTATGTCTTCAGGGGCTGATCCAGTGGGCACGTGCCCCCCGGCCCCCCCCCCCAAAAAAAAAAAATTGTGCGCACTACCCCCCCCCCCCCCCCCCCCCACTAAGCGAATTTGCGGCCGGCGTGATTTTCAAATTTTCGGGAGCAAAAAAAAAATGTGCTCTTACCCGCCCCCCGCCCCCCCCCCGCTTATTCAGCGGCTGATAGAGTCGTTGCGAATTTTTAGGGACCAAAAAATATATATATATATATGTCCTTTTACCCCCCCCCCTCCCCCCCCCCCCCCCTCCCCCCCCCCCTCCCCCCGCTTATTCAGCGGCTGGCTGAGTCGTTGCGAATTTTTTGGGGACCAACAAAAATATATATATGTCCTCTTACCTTGCCCCCCCCCCTCGCTTATTCAGTGGCTGGCTGAGTCGTTGCGATTTTTTTTTGGGACCAAACATATATATATATATATATATGTCCTCTTACCCCCCGTGTGCCCCCCATGTGCCCCCCCCCCCTCCCCGGGAAGAAATTCCTGGATCCGCCCCTGGTCCTATCCGTGAAATTTAACCATTGGCAGTGTCCTAATATTCAAATAATGCAAGGAAACCCGTTTACCTTCTAGACTTCACCGTCAGACACTATTGAGTGACTGACTGACATTTTGTTTTCTTTGGTAATAACATACCTAAAATGAGCTGTAACAGGTACATGAGCATTTGTCTACATCAATAACCCACTACTTGTAATGGCTAAAATTAAATTGATCGAATCTTTGTGCAACACAAAACCTACGACCATTCGGTAAAAGGCTCTGAAAATCAGACTAGTACTTAAGTGATTGCAATCACTTAAGTCGATTCGATAACTATTGATCGTCATTTCCCCACTAAAAGCCATTTTCAAGCCCTTTCGTTTTGAGGGAAGTTCTAAATTAGTATTGTCTTTCAAATGCCGTTCGAATTTAACCTTTTGATTTTTGGGGACCTGCAAATGGAATATACAGTCAAACTTATCTACAGCGACCGCTCTAAGGAAACACAAAAAGTGGTCGTTGTAGACAGGTTTCTTTAGTACATGTTTCATTGAGAAACCATTTTCGAGGGAACAAAAATTGTGGTCCTTGTAGACAGGTGGTCACTAAAGCAGGTTTGACTGTAGTACCTTAAAGGGTGCTGCAATTAATTTTAAGTATTATCTCCTTTATCAAACCATGTCAATTCCTCTGAATAATAAACAGAAAAATTATTATGATCATAATAATAATAATATATAGAAATTATAACATCAGTAGTTATAATATAATTTTAAAAATAATAATATTAATGATATTGATAACATAATTCAAAATGAAGTTTTTGATAATGATATTCATGTTATATTTACACTTCTTTTATTTAAAAAAAAATCTTTGGTGGAAATGCGAAATGCAATAAGTTAGCGTCACAATTTTTTTTCTTTTTTTATCACTAGATGGACATAACACGTATTGGAACAAAAACACTTTCCATTCACCTTCACCCATCCGGTAAAATATATTTCATTTTTGTGTGTGTGCGTGGGTGGCTATGTGTGCGTGTGTGAATGGATGATAAACAGGTTCTGTCTTGAATAATCGAAACATACACAATATATGACTTCATCGACAAGGCAGCATTATAAAATATTGATATTTAATAGGTGGCAAAAATAATAAAGTATTGGTAAATTATTGGATGGAGATTAAATGCCCTCTTGAATAGTCAACCATCGATATAGATAAGCATATGAGTCAATAAGAAGTATATTTCTATTAATATTTGTTTCCTAGATTCACCTCTCATACCATCGCGCTGCTTGCACGTTGTGCGACTCAAAGCCCGAAACAATAAATGTCCATAAGAATTAACAATACAATACTGATGTAAAGTGCACTAATTAAAGTGATCTTCGATAGAAGAAATGCTTTTACAAAATTTAGTTCATTTACACGCGCGTCAGTTGTCCTCATCAAGCCATTAGCGTAAATTCCAAAGCGTGATTAATTACTTGCGTCTATAATCTTTATGCGCTATTACTTGATTGCTTCTATCTTCGTTCATGCAACGATGAACTTGATTGGCCATTGCCAGTTTGCAAATGATAGCAACTTGTGTTCTACGGGGTCTAAATTACCTTGATCGACGTTGTACCCCTCCCCGCTCCCCCTGCCAGAGAATCCTGAATCCGCCACTAAAATCCCTTATTGATACTCAACATACAAACTGAGTCACACATTGACCTTGATACATTTTGTGTCTACCTGTTTGCCGTGTTGAGGAAGATCCTAATTTTAATTAATATAAATGATCATCATCACCTTGAACTGTTAATGATTATCATGTGCCATCCACTAGAGCATGAAAACGAGCAAAATTATATTGTTGTTAAAGGGCTATCCCATCTTTGAAATAGGTTCACCTTCATGAAAGAAAAAATAAGAGAAACATAATGATGAAAGCTTGATATAACTCGGATAAAAACAAATTAGAGAGGTAAGAATGTTTGAAATATGAGATCCCTACACTAATGCGAATATCAAATTGGTAATTTTGTCAGTGGATTGTGACGTAGTGACGCATACCTCTCCCGTTTGTCGTGTACAAAAATATCATTTATTTCTGTTTTTCTTCCGAGTGCCTTCACCCTTGGGGCACTACTCATAATATATTATGGATAGTATATTATTACAGGTCTTCTAAAAATTAAAGAACCATCTCGAGTCTTACATATTGAAGCAAGAAATGAATTTCAACTCTTTTGTATTGGAACAAATTTTTCCGGCATTGCATCACAGTCACATTACTGAATCAGCTCATTTGAAATTCCCATAGGATATAGTGATTTAAACAAAAAATTGGAAATTAAAACTTTCTTATTCGTTTGTCCGATTGCGTTTAAACTTTCACCAGCATGTCCGTCCGATTTTTCTGTTTTCTTTTAGAATAGTTCGTTATTCAGTTTGGATTTCACTTCAAGTGTTGTCGGCATTATATTCATAGGAATAGGCCTTTAATATAATTCTGAATGTAGGTCCATAATGACTGACTGACCTTCACCCATACTAACTGTGTTAATGATTGGAAGGGTACACGAGGCAGGCATTGTTGCCGTTCCTAATATATTTGAGTTTCCAATTGTTACATGGAAGGGTTAGTTTTCATCCCTCTGAATAAGAATAACTATAATAAGAATAATAATAATGCTTAATAATACTGCTGACGGTGGATAATCAACCTGTTCGAAACGTCGAGCCCCTCCTACCACCCATCTTATCTTTCCGGTGCTATAGTTTTCTTTAGATCTATGAGCTCAAGAAAGATTACCAACAGTCCTTCTGAGGTCTTCCAAGTTCCAAAAGTCCTTTTCAGGAATACACACACTCAAGAAAGAAAGATTACCGGCAGTCCTTTTTTAGGACTCCCCAATCCTCCCCCTCTCATATGGTGCAACCGTACTGTATAAATAATAATAATGATATAGAATATATAATTATATAGAAATTACAACGACAGCAATTATAATCATGATACTACTAATAATAATCATCATCGTCATCATCACATAATCATGATAATATTGATAATAACAATTGTGATAATGATAATAATATTTATGTTACATTTCCATTTTTTTTTCTTTTTGCTAAATACCCCCAAAACAGTCTCTTTTCACCTTCACCCATTGTGTGTTGGCGTGTTTGTGTGTGCGTGCGTGTGTGTGTAAATTGTTGATAAGTAGGTTCTGTCTTTAATAATCATAATATGCCAAAATTATGACCTCATCAACAAGGCAGAAATATAAAATATTGAAATTAAATAGATGGTAGAAATATTGAAATATTAAAATGATAGATAGATGCCCTCTGGCCTGGATGCCCTCTTTACTAATCAACAATCGCTAGATTATTATTTTAGCCAATAAAAAGTATTTTACTATTCATATTTGTTTCCTAGATTCATCTCTTATGCCATCGCCCTGCTAACACGTTGTGTGACTCAAAGTTTGTAACAATAAATTTCCTTAAGAATACAATATTGATGTGATGTGCACTAATTAAAGTGATCTCAGATAGAAGAAATGCTTTTAAAAATTCAGCCCATTTACACGCGCCTCAGTTTTTCTAATCAAGCCATAAGCGGATTGTCCAAAGCGTGATCAATTCTTTGTGTTAATAATTTGTATGAGCTTTTTTCATAATTGCTTCTATTGTGGTTCTTAAAATAAATCGCCTCTACTTGGCTATCAAAATATGCCTTGAAGAATAACCATGGCATTCATTAAAAAAAAAACACCTTCCTAAATTGTAAAGACATCTTGATAATGTAGCTCTCCAAGCGTTTCAGTGACAAGTGAACTGAAGCATATTCCCGTTGAAAAGATATATTTCTTGTATTTTGTTCTTTGGGGTAAGGGGATCGGTTGGACCCTCATTAATTTCGATATATAATGAATGTATTTAATGCATTGGATAAAGAATTATTAGATATACCCACACGTTTCTTTTATTTTCTCTCTCTCCCTCTCTCTCTCCCTCTCTCTCTATTTCTCTCTCATTGGTGTGAAGTAGCATCAGATCATGATTCAGATAATATTTCTAGCGACTTTCTCGAATTTGAAGAGGGGAAAGGAACGCATTAGAACGAATTGCGCCCCTTTTTAGAAATATAATCCTTCTCGTTGTCAACGCTATAAAAATAGGTCCCTTCTCTATATAAAAGAATGATGCCCTTTTTACACTAAAATCATCGCCCCTTTAGCTCTAAATTAATGTTTCTTGAATACAATCGACCGATTTACTTTTCCATTTGGAAACTATATCAGAACTGCATATTCTGAGAATTTCATGATCGCAGCTACCATGGAATGGCTTTAGGCGCTATCTAAATTTTAAATATTTAAAATTTACCGGTAAATTTGTGATTATTCAATTTCTAGAAAGAAGAAGTGTTTTAGGGGCTAAACTTTCTATTGGCTATAAAACATCCACAGTGGCATCCAACTATATCAATATTTTAAAGAATTACTATCAATCCAATTTTAATATTTTCCCAAACTTTGCATTACCTTTTACATTGAATGCCGATGATGTTAAAAAGAACGATACATACCACACACAACAACAAAGTACTGTGCTGATGCAATATATTGGACCATGTAAAAAGAATATCTTGAAGATTATAATCTCTGATAATTTATTATTTACAATTTAGGGGTATATACAGTGATCAAAAGTTGTAATTTTCGCTTTGAGTTTACCCTTTGTAGGTGCCACTTTTTTCTAGAATTTTTTAAAGAATGACGGGCCCTTAGTGCTGGTGCACCCCCATTTTGAAAGACGCTCCGCCGCCCCTTAGAAGAAATACCAAGACGAGTGATTGCATTTTGGGGGAAGGAAGATTAATCAAAGCATCATAGGTAGAAAATATGTTGTGAAATGCTAAATGTATTTGATTTACATTTCTTAAACATAAACAAAGATCGCAAAAGACAAAAATCATCTCAAAGGTAATTTCGATACCCTATTTAAGGCCTAATATCCAATAGAAATCATCTTCGGATTAAGATGTCATTTTTCAAAAGCCGATGGAAAAGACTACTTAAATCGCATTAGGTTGATATTCTAAAGTCCATGCGATCGTGTTTGAAGTAGAGTCATTAGGGACTTTTAGATTTACACGATGAGAGCGTGGACTGCCGCGTGTGACATTGTGTTAAGGCACTGGGCCGTGCCCGGCAGTGCCTTAAAAGGACGTCACATTACCTTATAAGGATGTCACACGTGGCGGTCCACGTTCTCGTCGTGTAAAACTAAAAGTCCCTACTGATGTGAGGACTTACCCGGTTCGGTGCATTTCCAAGTTGCATTGATATTGGCTGGTTTTCGAGTCATTCTCTCCACCACATCAAGAGGGACTAGTTTATGGATGAGCTGGATGGTCTGTCCATTCCTGGTGATAGATTTGCATTGTACTCCAGAAATCGACAGCGGACACCAAGCGCTGGTCGATTCAGTTTTAATACGATCAATGCCTGGATCAAAGATAAGTACATTGTGAAAGAAAATGACATCGCCTCATCGTTAAAGGACGGTACAGCCAGTGACACCACATGGCGTTATTGTCCTTTATGCAGTGAGCCGACGGGGTGGGGGGTGGTAATCTGTGGTTACATAGTTATCTTACACCAATGCTCTCCTTAACGTATTATGTTGTGTGTGGGCGAAGCGAGCGAGCAAAGAGGCAAGGTAACACTATGAGTATGTAAACCATGTTGTATTCCTGTACCATCCTGCCCGATTGTGAGATGCGATGTTTGCCCGAATATAGGAACTTTAAAACAATTCCGGGAGAGGCTACAGCTCCCATCCCTCCACCTACACACATTGATTTGATTCGATTGTGATTAATTTATTTAATATCTTCATGTTTTTTTTCTCCAAAGTTTACAAAACTAAAACACACAATCAGGATGATAAACAATCATGTAAAAAATTAAATACTTGCATTGTAATACCTACATAAGACAATTAGGAAGAAGGATTACCACATAAGCTACGCTTGAAGGCATGGCAAATCCTTTAAAGAGCTTAATAATCCCTATATACAAACATTCTGTTTAGGGATTGGAGTTTAAAGGTTAAACTGCAGTTATGATTCTAATAGTTTTCTTATGTAATTGTGCCGATTTCTAAGAGAAGAAGAAGAAACAAAATAATAAACAGAACAAAAATTCGAGTGTGCACAAGCATAATCGAGGAAAGTATAATTATGTAACATTGAAAGTATTTATACTTCAGTGGTCCTATGTTTGTAATGGATAAAATTGATCAAAATATACGTTAATTGCATTTCCTTCACAAACCATGACAACAACAACAACAGACGTATTTGTATATTATATAAGAGAAATGCATAAATGCATCACACTGAAGAAAAAACACTTTAAAAATGCATGTATATTACAAGAGGAAATGCAAAGAAGGCACAAGCCACCAGTGTGTTAGGGCATGCAAAGAACTCTACCATGATCATTACACTTAGGTCAGAAGTTGCGTTGCATATTTTACTTCATCATGCTTCTGATCTTATCTGCTATCATGCCGTAAAGTTAAGTTTCAAATAATGTCTATAATACGATCTTAGTTCGTTCATAAACAGTCCTCAATACGTCTGTACACCGTCCACAGTCAGTTCATATAAAGTTCAGATTAGGTAAATTTGCCATTTCCAAGCAGTCCAAGCCCGTCCGTTGTCAGTTAAAACCCGTTTTTAACTAGTTCTTTACCTCGTTCCCATTACGTCCAAACCCACTCTAACTAGTTCGCAAGTTGTTCTAACTAGTTTGTAACTTGACCACCCCGTTCGGAGATAGTTCAACTCATCTTCATCTCGTTCTTAGTGCGTTCGAACGCGCTCATAAAGCGTGCGCAATCCCGTCCTCAGGGGCGTCGCTAGACTTTTTTCAGTGGGGGGGGGGGGGGGGGGGGGGGGAGGTATAGAGGCCAACGATTACCGACAAAATTAAATGTCCAATATCTACAAATATTTATTTAACCCTATACACCTAGGGCCGAAGGCTTAATTGTTTTTCCTATGGACTATCTATAGTAATTGCGTATGCGCAAATGGTCATTTTCCTCGACGACATAAATATACGAATTATTTCGTCAACGTAGTCAGCATCATAGCTATATATTTTAATGCAGGCGCGGAGCTAGGATCTTTTTTTAGGGAGGGGCGGTAGTGAGCAAGTGAATCACTTAAAGAGCGCGCGAAGCGCGCTCATTAGCCGGGTGTGGGTAATATGCAAAGACGTTTAAATATAATTATAGACGTTTCCTTAAATTATTAGGAAAAGAAGACGATTTATTGTATCGTTCTCGACTGTTAATCCTTGTCTAAATGAAGTTTCCACCTTCCCGCGCGAAGCGCGAAAGCTTTGACGTTTCATTAAATTATTATAAAAAGAAGACGATTTCCTGTACCGTTCTCGACTGTTAATCCTTGTCTGAATTCAGTTTCTCCCCTTCCCTTCCCTTGACGAAGTTCATTAAATTATGAGAAAAAGCAGACGATTCGGTGTACTGTTCTCGACTCTTAATC